CTCTGAGAAGGACTACTCTCAGGGCCTGCCCTTGTTTTGGCCTGTTCTGTGGACATAAGTATCTGGAGTATTAGAAACTATAGTGAAACCACTTCTCCTGGTTCAGATAGGATAGGGTTAAGTTTTCCCCAGCAGAGAGGGGGAAGGGATCTCCAGCTGGATTATTCAAGTCTGGGCGATGAAGTTGAGGAACTTTTTCCTTTGTGGCTTTGGTCACGGGTAGCATCGCGAGCGAGCTGTCTGTAAACACTGTGGTATTTGTCTGTATATCTATTGTCTTGTTTACTTTTATTACTGTTTATTGTTGTTATCATTGCTACTGTTGTTGTTCAGATTGCTTATTACAATGTTGTATTAAATTTCTTCTTATTTTAACCCGGGGTTTGTGCCTCAATTCCAGCCCGACCGGTTGAGGGTGGGGGAGGGGCAACGGCAACGTGGCCTCTGGTCCCGGCAGGGCCTAAACTGCCACAGAAGCTGAAGTGAGCCTGACTGGGAAGGACTGGCATAAGCACCCCATTGTGACTGGCTCAGATGCCCCGTGCATCCTGGGCATAGACTATCTCAGGAGAGGGTACTTCAAAGACCCAAAAGGGTACCGGTAGGCTTTTGGTGTATCTGCCCTGGAGGAGGTTGAACAGTTGTCCACCTTACCCGGCCTCTCAGAGGATCCATCAGTGGTGGGGCGGCTTAAAGTTGAGGAGCAGCGAGTGCCCACTGCTACCAGGACGGTGTACCGGCTGAGATTCCCTGGTCCCCATCCATCAGCTGATCCGTCAACTAGAAAGCCAGAAGGTGATCAGAAAAACTCACCCTTCATCAGCCCTATATGGCCAGTGAGAAAGCCTAATGGTGAATGGAAGCTAACTGTGGACTACCGTGGCCTGAATGAAGTTACGCCAGCAATGAGTGCTGCAGTGTCAGACATGCTAGAGCTCCAGTATGAACTGGAGTCAAAGGCAGCCAAGTGGTACGCCACGACTGACTTTGCTAACGCATTCTTCTCCATTCCGATAGCGCCAGAGTGCAGGCCACAGTTTATGTTCCCTTGGAGAGGCATCTAGTACAACTGGAATCGATTGCCCTAGGGGTGGAATCACAGCTCCACCATTTGCCATGGACTGGTCCATACTGCACTGGAGAAAGGTGGGGCTCTACAACACCTGCAGTACATTGATGACACACCCAAGGAAGTCTTTGAAAAAGGGAAGAAGATAACTGAAATCATCCTGAAGGCCAGCTTTGCCATTAAGCAAAATAAAGTTAAGGAGCTTGCAAGGGAAATTCAATTCCTAGGAATAAAATGGAAAGATGCGTGTCACCACATCCCAATGGAGGTGATAAACAGGATAACAGTCATGGCCCCACCAATCTCTAAAAAGGAGACTCAGTCTTTCCTTGGGTGCTGTGGGGTTCTGGAGGCTGCACATCCTGAACTACAACCTGATTGTGAGACCTCTCTACCATGTAAGCCGTAAGAAGAATGATTTTGAATGGGGCCCTGAGCAACCACAATTCTTTGAACAGATTAAACGAGATTGCCCAAGAAGTAGCTCTTAGGCCAGTCCAGGAAGGGCAGGAGGTTAAGAACATGCTCTACACTGCAGCTGGGGAGAATGGCCCTACCTGGAGCCTCTGGCAGAGAGCACCTGGGGAGACCCGAGGCCGACCTCTGAGCTTTTGAAGCTAGGGATACAAAGGCTCTAAAGCTAATTATACACCGACTGAGAAGGAGATACTGGCAGCGTACGAAGGAGTTCGGGCTGCCTCAGAAGTGGTCGGCATTGAAACACAGCTCCCCCTGGCACCCTGACTGCCGGTGCTGGGGTGGATGTTCAAAGGAAAGGCTTCCTCCACACATCATGCAACAGATGCCATGTGGAGTAAATGGGCTGTGTTGATAACATAACGGGCTTGAATAGGGAACCCCAGCCGCCCAGGGATATTAGAGGTGATTATGAACTGGCCAGAGAGCAAAGATTCCGAGATGTCAGCAGAGCAAGAGGTAACACGTGCTAAGGAGGCCCCACCATATAACGAGTTGCCGGATGAGGAGAAGCGATATGCCCTGTTCACTGATGGGTCTTGTCGTATTGTGGGAAAACATTGACGATGGAAGGCTGCTGTATGGAGTCCCACATGACGGGTCACTGAAGCTGCTGAGGGACAGGGTGAATCGAGCAAGTTTGCAGAGGTGAAAGCCATCCAGATTGCTTTGGATATTGCTGAGTGGGAAAAGCAGCCAAAGCTCTACCTCTACACTGACTCGTGGGCAGTGGCAAATACCCTGTGGAAATGTTTGCAGCAATGGAAGCAGAACAACTGGCAACGTAAGGGTAAAACTGTCTGGGCTGCTGAGGTGTAGCAGAACATTGCAGACTGTGGGGAAAACCTTGTTTTGAAGGTGCGCCATATGGATTCCCATGTACCCAAGCATCGGGCCACTGATGAACATCGACACAACCAGCAGGCAGACCAAGATGATAAGATTAGAGTGGCTCAGGTGGACTTGGACTGGCAGCGCAAAGGTGAACTCTTCATAGCCTGGTGGGCCCATGAGACCTTGGGCCACCAAGGTAGAGATGCAACATACAGGTGGGCTCGAGATCAAGGTGTGGACCTCACTATTGACACCATTGCAGAGATCATCCACGGATGTGAGACGTGTGCTGCAATCAACCATGCAAGCGAGTGAAGCCCAAGCAAAATGGAGAGCGATGGCTGAAATATAGCTATGGAGAGGCCTGGCAGATCGACTACATCACACTGCCACAGACCCACCACAGGAAGCGCCACGTGCTTGCAATGGTGGAAGTAACCATTGGATGGCTGGAAACTTACCCATGCACCAGCTTCTGGCAAGAACGAGCGCTACAATGGACTGTTAAAAACCGCATTGAAAACATTGGGAGGTGGGACCTTCAAAGGCTGGGACATGCATCTAGCAAAGGCCACCTGGCTAGTCAACACAAGAGGATCTGCCAGTTGAGCTGGCCCGGCTCAGTCAAAACCTCCACGTGCTGTACATGGGGATAAAGTCCCTGTGGTGAATATGAGGAATGTGTTGGGAAAAATAGTCTGGTTTAGTCCTGCGCCAGGCAAAGGTAAAGGCAAACCCATCCATGGGATTGCTTTTGCTGAAGGACCTGGGTACACCTGGTGGGTGATGCAGGACAATGGAGACGTCTGATGCGTACCACAGGGGAACTTGATTCTGGGTGAGAACATGCTGTGAATTATTCTGTGCCTGTGTAAATTATTGTTTTGTTACTATTAACTGCTAAATGGCAGCTGGACATGACACAAATAGTATAGAATAAAGGGGTGGATTATGTCCTGGTTCAGCTAGGATAGGGTTAAGTGAGAGAGGGGGAAGGGATCTCCATGTGCGTTATTCATACCATGCGGATGTCAGGTCCGGGCACGGGTGTCGGATGTCAGGTCCGGGCACCGGTGTGGCAGTGTGGGAAGCTTTTTCCTTTGTGGCTTTGGTCGTGGAGAGCATCGTGAGATAGCTGTCTGTAACCATTGATGTATTTCTCTGTATATCTTTTGTCTTATTCACTGTTATTGCTGTTTATGTTGCTATCATTGGTGCTGTTGTTGTTCAGATTTTTATCACACTGTTGTATTAAATTTCTTCTTATTTTAACCGGGGTTTGTGCCCTACTTGTGTCTGAGGGTGGAGGAGGGACAACAGCAATGTGGTCTCTGGTCCTGGCAGGGATTAAACCACCACAGCACTTCTATTGGGCACCATTTTACAGGGCTGCCCTCCTGTTTATCCTTTTTGCCAGAGCTTTCACATGAGCCCAATAGTAGAGTGATTCTCTTTCCCTCCCAAACTCTCTTCATTAAAATGATCCTCCAGCAGTCAGAACATGTGGTCCAGGTTTACTTCTGGACCTGTGTCCTGGATTTTCCTGCGTAAAATAAATTAGTTTCTTTCTTCTGAAATATATGAGCTTCTTGATGTCTTTGGAGGTGTTCCAGCAGATTATATATTATATACAAAACCTTCCAGAAGTTCAGAAGTGTGGTCTAATCTAGTTTTTCTGCATATCCCATCAGACATATTTATCTTTTAATTATGGATGTGATTTATTTGTGAGGATGGATAATGATAATGATGCTGATATTATTACTGGGACAATGGCTAAAGAACTGGTACTATTTTATAGCATATTTGCTTGCCTGGAAAGTTGCATAATTTTCCTCTTAGACTATTGGTTCTTAAGGACTATATTGATTCAATGATGGTTGTTTCTATTAAACTACAAATAAACATAAACACATTTAGAAACTATCTTCTGGAAAGGATTAAAAATATGTGTGTGTAAGGAACTGAAGGAAGTAATGCCTCAAACATTCATTGACACAGAAAACCTCAAGGAGAAGCTGTGGCCTTTGTGATTAGTCTAAAAAATATCGTTCAAGGAAGGGGGTGTGTATCAGAGGATGCTCACCCCATTCTCTTGCAGTTGTATTGTCAGACTCCTGGTTTATCTGAACCTCAAAGGGGTAAAATGTTGACTGAGTGAAACCAAATGTTTGTCATCAAGCACAAAGACCACTAATCACTGGTTCCATTGTGTAAGCCTGAAGAGATGACAAGGTGACAAGCCTGTTAAAAGGTGAGCATTTCTGCCCCAGAGCAGGATGATTGGGGAAAAAAAAAAAAAAAAAAAAGGTAGTCAGGGTGAGTATGACCACCGACCCAGTTGGACAAGGGGTGTTACACCACATTCCCCCTCAATGTATGCACAGAACCCACGCTCTACTTTTTTCCTTCTCTCTCATGGAAATGACTTCGTGAAATATCTGCCCCTTCTTGTCTAGTATGCTTATCAGCTGATAAGGTGAACTTGAAAGGTGACAGAAAACTTTGCTCTGTGTGCACCCACTGTAGGGAAATTTATGAAAGAAAAT